CCCAACTTAAACATTTCAAATGGAACTCTTCATATTGTAATATATCATTTAAAAGTACAAAAAAAGAAATTTTTTTGTTTAATTTCGGAGATGGATACGTTGACCCGTTTAAGAGTTATTCAATGTCAAAGTTTGAAAAATTCTATTTGTTCATACTTTCAATACGTGTTGGATTTGTGGCAATAATCAGAAAGGACACCGTTCATTTCTTGGCAATAAAACAATCGATCCTGAAATTCCTGTTTTATATTTTGAAATGTTTTTTTAGACATGTTTTCATAAGCTGTCATAATTCTTGCATTAAGATCTTCAATGCCATTAGGGATAGTTTTAACTGCACAAACTGTTGTTGCTGTGCATAAAGTATGTGTTCACGAAAATTCTATTGTGGATTCTAGCGTGCTCTGAATCACAGTGGATTGCAGCAGCTTGTAGATATCTAAGAAAATATTTCAAAATATAAGACAGCAATTTCATAATCAAATATTTTACTGTCAAAATTTGGACAGTGCTCATTTTCAACAGTTTCCTATAATAAATGTATTGTAGGATAACAAATAGAATTTTTCAAATTTGACACTAAATAACTCCCAAATGGGTCAATCTATCAACCTCTACATTGAAAACAAAAATTTCCTTTTTTTTTGTTTCATATGATATGCTACAATACAGCGGGGTTCTTTTTTAAATTTTTGAATTGAAGCCATTTTATAGCATACCCTTGAGGAGGACAATCTCCTTAAATCTCTTAACACATTAACTGTCGAGCCCATTTTGTTTCACTTTCCACTTATGTCAGACAATATCATTCAGAGATTCACGCGCGGTGCATGAGCTAAAGTATAAACAAAAGATAAAGTGTAAACAAAAAGTTAAACGCTGGTCCATAGGGACCAGCATGGCGTAAACGGAAAGTCTAGTGCTGGTATGTAGGGACCGGCGTGGCATTTAATGTGTTAAAAGAATAGTCCCTTGAAATAATTGAACACATATTTTGCGGTTTTTCATAATTCTGAACTGTTTTCAAAATATAAGGGTGGTAACAGACTTTATAAACATCCTGTGTGTGTGTATATGTATGTATATGTATATATATATATGTCATTAACATTTCTGATAGCAAAGCCTGCGGAGACAGATTTTGAACAGAACCTGCTACCAATTTTTGATTGCAGAAAAGTGTATATAGAATTTAAATAAAATTGTATATAGAATTTATATTATTTGACATTATCAGCAAATTGCTGCCAGAAATATAACAAAGCCTGCTAGATATGCTATGCCAGCAGATTAGTAGCAGAAACCGAGCAGTCTTGCATAACCTGACAGCAGATTGAGAGCAGATTGAGAGCAGAACCTGATTTGACCAGACTCTGCTCGGTTTATGTCACCAATCTGCTGGCACAGCCTGTTATCAGATTTTGTTGACAAATCCATAGCCAAATGCGGACACAGATGACTATGGTTTTGTAGTCAAAATCTGATGGAGTTTGTTGCCAATTTAGCCCCAAATTGCTAACATTTTGCTATCAGGGATTATATGAAATATAATAGTTTCACAAGATAAAAGATATTCAAAGAAAAAATTCTTACTTTTAATAACCATTTGCTGCTCATATTGGTCATCCTGATTATGAATTGCAGTATCCATTTCCATTCCTTCAAACTCTATGTTTTCCTTTCTATTGTGCAAATGTTCTGCTTTCCGCTGCTGCTCCACTTGATGTTTCCACAATTCACGTATTTTACGCTGACCAGCCACCAATAACTCAAAGAATTGCGCCGTTGCTTCCAATTGGATATTACAACCCGGACAAATTGTACGTGGTAATTTTCCATCATCATAAATCTTAAATTTATATGTTTATAATTTATAAATATATGATATCATAAAAACATAATTCATACATAAGTAAATAGTTTATAATCTACACTGTGATAATTTATATTATATTCTAATGTTCACATATAAAATGAAAATATTGCCTGTTCTTTTTAGGTAAACATCTTATACAGTTCGCTTTTTCCTTTCCTTTCTATGTTAAAGAGAAAAAAAAGAGGGTGAACCATGCAAGAAATTTAAGTAAACAAAACAATATATATATATATATACATATATTAAAAGAAAAGCTATTCATCTGTGATTATATCGAAGTGATAATATGGAGGCAATATAAATGATATGTTCAAGGTATGAATAATTAAAATATTCTTGTTTAGCAAAAAGGAAGCGAGCGAGCGAGAGAGAGAGAGAGAGAGAGAGAGAGAGAGAGAGAGAGTTCATAATAAAAAATCTAAGGAATAATCAAACATGCTATGCATGAAATGATGAACATTTGATCAGTGCAGTAGCATTGCATGGAAGGCATGAAAATCAGAGTAGGAAATCAAGTTGCAGTCTGTATAACCGGCGTTTTGAAAACACGACGCCTTACCTTCAACGGCAGGTAACGATTCACCAGCGAGCATAAGTCCGACTCGCCTGTCTCATTGATGAACAGATGCTCGTTGCCGTTGTCCGCCGCACACAAACGACAAATCGTTGAGTCATATAGATGCATATCTACTATCATATAGATGTTTCTAATAATAAAGTGAAATAATATCCAGAAATTATTCATCCAGAGAAGACGTAATGTATAAAAAAATATATATATTACGAATTTATGTAACAAATTTAGATCGACAATACTAAAATTTATTGCGTTTTACCATTGTTTTGTATATACAACGTTGATTAAGCGCTATCCGTGCTGTCCTAAACAATTCAGGGGATTATGCTGATTCCACAATAAGTCGGTAGTCTGCAGGTCTGCAGGGTCTGCAGCATGAGAGCTTTTCAACAGAAACAACGGTGTGGCAAGGTGAATTGTTGCATTCTCGTTGTTCCGTCAATGGTCACGTTCAGCAGATTAAAGGTGTCATTGGTCGCGTTCAGCAAACTCAACTGTTGCGTAGCGGATCAGTGGCTCTCGCGGCTATTGGATGATCTAAAAGAATACACCAATAGCAGCGAGCGCTCAAGGATCCGCTCCACACAGTTGAGTCTGCTGAACGCGACCATTGGCTGCGTTCAGCAGAAAAAGCAGCTATGCAACTGTTATAAAATTCTTGAATATGATTGGTTTATACATTTAGAATCAATGAGGAACTAAGGGCAAGACCAATCATAATAAAGAATTTTACAATAGTTGCAAAGATGCTTTTTCTGCTGAACGCAGCCATTGGCTGGGATAACTATGGATGTTATTAAACCTGATTAAGGCTCCACTTGATGCTACAAATGCTTCGAAACATTTTTGATTGGTGAATTAGTAAAATTCTTTTTTCCGATTGGTCAATCAACTGTTTCGAAGCATTTGTAGCACCAAGTAGACCGCACCCTAAGCGTGCCGTGTAGCAGAGATCATTGACCTCTGCTACACGGCACGCTTAATCGGGTTTAATAACTTCCGTAGTTATGAAATTGTCCAATCAAAGCTGTTCCTCCGAAGAATGGAACGACTGTGATTGGCCAGTTTCATAACTACGGATGTTATTAAACCCGATTAAAGGTGCCGTGTAAATGTAGTCATTGTCACTTAAGGCTAGGTCCACAACCTTGCTTTAAGTGGCCGTAAAGCCTTAAGAAATTGATCAATCACAGTTGAATATGAGAAAAATAATCGACTGTGGTTGGTTAATTTCTTACGGCTTTACGACTTACCTCTGATCTACAATAGAGTTCTAAGCCTTAAGCCATAAAGCTGGTTCTACATTAGTCGCATCGCAATGTCGTAAGCCTGTCGCAAGCGTTGTGGTCCTATTAGAGTCGAGTTAGATTGACGTTGATTGGACCACAACGCTTGTGACGTTAAGATGCGATCAATGTAAAAACAGTTTAAGAAATAGACGAATCATAGTCGATTATTCTTCTCGAATTCGACTGTAATTGGTTAATTTCTTATAACTTAAGACTTAAAACACCTATTGTAAATCCGGACTTAAGCAAGGTTGTGGACCTAGCCTAAATCCGGGGTTACCCCGGATCTACAATAGATGTTTTAAGCCTTAAGTTGTAAGAAATTGACCAATCACAGTCGAATTCGAGGAGAATAATCGACTATGATTCGTCTATTTCTTATGGCTTAGAGCCACTGTCACCAAGCTCAGTTAACTTAACTGGGCCAATTAATCCATCGAAATTGACCAATCTGTTAATTCTTCAAACAAAATGACAAATGTGATTGATCAATTCCGATGGATTAACTGGCCTAGTTAGATCAACTGAGCTTGGTGACAGTGGCCCTTAAGGCTTAAAACTCTATTGTAGATCCGGGGTTATGTAGCTTATGCTTGCTTTCCAGTAAGGACATAGGCTGCGTTCAGCAGAACGTTTGTTTTGCAACTGTTGGACGTTTCCTTCGCGCTAATTGGATCATACTTTTAGATCTAGAAGAATGGTCCTATCTCGGCAAACAATCATAAAACGGTTGCAAAACTGTTGAGTCTGCTGAACGCAGCCATAGGCAGACACTGGGCGCGTTCAAGTTGACAAAGCGGCTAACCTGCTCGCCAAGCAAATGAACATAATTGGTTGTTACTTATAGATCCAACCAATCATATTCAATCGCTCGGTAAGCACGCCTAGCCGCTTTGCCGTCTTGAACTCGCCCACTGTGTTACACAGTGTCTGACTGTGTCCTTGCTGGAAAGCAAGGTATGTCATTTTATGTGTGATGGCCCTAATTATTTCAATTTATCAGAAACTATGTATTCCACAATACATGATTTCTGATAGATTGAAATTCTTATTCTCTGTTCCCTGTTCTCTATTCCTTTCATTGTGCGCAGCCTCTCAGAGAATCAGCCCCTTCACTTTTGCTCGACCAATTGACGCCGCTCTCTACTAGCCGAACGCAGCGTCAATTGGTGGAGTAAAAGTGGAGGGGATGATTCTCTGAGTTGCGCGAGGCTAACTATCCAATTCCCATCACTGTCACTGCTCCGGACCTGATATCGAGTCCGGACGCGGACAGTGACACTTGACAGTATTGTCAGTACCGAATTGATCGAATCTATCCATTTTTACGTCAATCAACATTGATCTCCGACGCTCGTCCTGCTAGACTCTATGCACGTTTGAAAGAGACAATCGATCGCGTTAACAAACTTGACCAAAGTTGCCTGGTTGTAGACAGGACGCACGCCAACACACGCTCGCGCCTGGGTGATCGCCAATAATCGCCAAAGCATCTTGGCGGTCTCTGTGATCTCGTGACGTGACTCATCCCGGACATATATACATACGTCCATACATCCATATGCGTAATATGTCGCGCCTGCTTCATTAAAGTGCCACCCGTTTAGGAAAAATCGCAAATAAAAAATTGTCGGGTAAAGACGGATAGAGGCGTGCATATCCCATTGTGTACCGTATCGTGCGTGTACGTAGAGAATAGATGTCTGATGTGCTGACACGCACAATAGGCAAACACTGAGGTAAACATCCGTAAGCAGCTGTCGCTCAGGTCGCTCTCGCTATCGTCGCAGCCAGAGCCAGATACACACACATTTGTATGCGTACGTCGAGCCGTGAGCGAGACGCTTCGGAACACTCCGCTCGGACCTCTTTTGCATGGTAAGCGGATGTTAGGTTAGAATCCACCACCTACCATTAACCTCCGTTAACCTCGCGCTTGCGACAATCGACAATCATCATTGATGTTTCGCGTTATCGGTTTCGTCATTGATTGCTAGCTATCAACCGATCTTATTGCTGCTCTCGTGAGCAAGGAGTGCATCTTCGTTTCTTCTTGGAGTTCGAGACGACTTCGTTCTCGTCTCTCGATTTCGCTTGGTCATTCTATGGTCATTCTGGTCAGGTGACGCTCGATGGACAACTCTTGAGGTTAGATTGTTTCAGCGCAGACGACCTTTCTCTCCTTCGCGGCTTCTCACTCTGTCGTGTTCCTTTCCCACGGTCTCTCTGAACTCGAGAAGGAAAATTCACTATTGTCGTCTCTATTGCGACTGGGTACCAATGAAATTCTACTAAAACTAAGTACTAAAATTCTACACAAACTAATGATAATATTACTTCAATATTATAATTGACTAACACTCAACGATATAAATATGATACAATACTTGTAAGCATCATATTTTGATTCTTTTTAAGTTAAGAAATCTAAGAAGCTGCTGAGAAGAAAAAGAACACTATTCTTACATAACAGCTATATTATTGAATAAGAATTTACAACATTAATATTACATTACTATTATTCGGTGTTTATTATATAAGTACATTGTCAGGAAATTACAACATTGATGTAATGTTATGTTAGTTTGGGTTCAGTGGAATTGACAACCACAAGTTCGAGAGCCACTTGAATTATGTAGAGATCCAAAAGGTAAACATACTTGTGTCATGTATGATAGCAGGTAGTCAGTTCTTGTATTTAAGACTGGCTTAAGTACAGTGTTAAGATGGCAATTCAATGTTTTATGAGTAACCAGTTGTATTCTTATCAATCCTTGCTAGTATTCACAGTCGATACTTATTTCAAGACTTCTTAAGGGATCTTACAAGGGTTAATAAGTTTTAAGATATTAAACCTTAATACACACCTTTGGGTCATTCAATTTGTGTTCTGTACATTTCTTTTTTTTGAAACACTAAGAGCACCTGGTCAAATACCCCAGTCTCTCTTCTATTTCTAAAAAAACTTTGGCATCTCTAGAGAACAAGTTTTTTATGTTGCCAGCCTCAATTCATGTATATCCTTTAACTAGAATAACTCAGAAGTTCACCTCTGGGTCACAAATGATCATCCATTGTGTATATGTACAAAGGGTACATGTTTTGTTACTAAAAAAATTTTTATTTTTGTCCTTATTGTCAACTAATTTTCATTTGTATTGCAGGAATATTTCGCAAATTATTAAAAAAAGAATTTAATCCTAGAACAACATATTAGCCCTTAGTTTTGTTTGCATCGCATGTTCCAATATGTTCCTACCATAGCTCTTACTCACTTCAACGCGCTTGATAGAGTAAATAGGAGCTATGGTAGGAGCATGTTAGAGCATGTTAGAGCTTGCGATGGGAACAATCTCTTAATAAATACGATAGTTTTTGGTTAAATGTTGTTTGTAATGTTATAAAGAAAATTTTCCTAATAAATTATATTTTTTTAAACACAATAGCATTAATAAAATGCATTGTTTAGAATGTAAATGCAATATACCCTCAATTTATAGCTATTCATGCATATTAAAAAAACATTTTCAAGTTACTAAATAATTAAATTTTTTGAACAGCCGACATTTGAACTATTTTTTTCTTTTAAACATTTTTGTTTCAGAGTTTTACATTGCTGTATGAAAAAGTGCATTTTTCTCATTTTGTTAACTATATTTAGTTGTAACAATTTATATACAATTTGTTATAAATATACAACTTTACAAATACAAATTTAAAAATGTCAAAATATACGTAAAAATTGCTTAATAATTTTTGTATACTTGTAAAAATGATGAAAATTAATCCAGGACACAAAAGACTCATTGTGTGTGTAGTAAGGGTGCAAAAAACTAAGATGTGTACTAAGGTTAATGATTAGTTTATAATGTCTTAAAACTATACTTAATTCTTCGGAGCTGGTGTGAGTTTGTTGGACCCTTCTCGGTTATATGCTTCCATAGTTAATGGTGATCCACTATTCTGACTATTCAGTGATTATTCGGCTAACAAAGATTCTGATGAGTAAAAATAATTCTCTGGGAAGTAATGTTAAGATAAAAAATACATTGTATTTGAATTTACTATTAATTCTTGTATCTATTGTAGCAATTGTCATTTTAGATAAAAATGTCAAAAAATTCAATTTTCTTTCTATGTGCCAAAGGGTTTGCGGGTTATCGCCGTATGATCAACGCTAATGTCGCTAATAATAAATCAACGTTTTGTGAACCTTGCTATTCTCTTCATCAAGATGAGGACGCACTGTTACTGATACTGATGTATATATAAATACGTTTTGATGAAAAGTGAACGGCAAGGTTTACAAAATGTTGGCATTAGCAATGGATCACAACATGGCGATAGCCCACAAATCTTTTGGCACATTTGAAGAAAGTATCCATGAAAGCCTCAAAAATATTATCAATTTTCTTTATGTTATTTCTGTTATAAATTTCAATTATTCTTGTTGAAGTTGAACTTATTCTTTTTTATATAAGTTATGTCATTTTAAAATTAATTAATGACTTTTAATCAACATATATTAAATACGAGTAGTTTTCACGGACCCAGTGTCAGTAACTGTGTTACAGATTTTGATGTTAGCTCCGAAGGATTAAGATGCTCTATTTAAAAAACGATCACAAATTCCATCCCTTGATGCTATGCCATACAAAGCTGCATTAATGTAGCTGTACTCGATACTTTGATTTATGTTTTTCATAATATACACTTATTGCAAGGATATGAATAACTTGCATTTATATCGTTCGAGTGTATATGTATCTCACTCTGTATTATTTTGGCCATGTGGCGACATATCTATCATATAATACTTACTTTTTATCATATTTAACATGAATAGTAGTTATAATAGTGTTTTTCATAATATACACTTATTGCAAGGATATGAATAACTTGCATTTATATCGTTCGAGTGTATATGTATCTCACTCTGTATTATTTTGGCCATGTGGCGACATATCTATCATATAATACTTACTTTTTATCATATTTAACATGAATAGTAATTATAATAGCGTTTTTCTAACATCATGAACATTTCTTAAGGATATTCTCCAGTGGAGAATAATAAAGGATGTGTCCATTTCTTTTTTTTTATGTTTCATAAGGTGCATACATTCTAAGAAAACATGCCTCTGTTTGGAAAGTCTCAAAAGAGTCCAGCAGAAGTTGTGAAGGCCCTCAAGGAAGCGGTAAATGCATTGGAACGCGGCGACAAGAAGGTAGAGAAGGTACGTTGTTGTGGATACACGTTGGTTTCTACGATGAAATACATCCCCTTTTAGGCGCAAGAAGATGTAAGCAAGAATCTAGTGCACATAAAAAACATGTTATACGGTACGGCCGAGACAGAACCACAGGCAGACATCGTGGTGGCACAGCTGGCGCAGGAATTGTACAACAGCAATCTACTACTTTTGCTTGTGCAAAATTTAAGTCGCATTGACTTCGAGGTACGCTGTCAATATACCTGAAATAGATCCAAACGAATCGAACGAATATTTTTTGTGGCAGATAGAAAGATGTATGTATATGTGCGAAGTAAGTTGTTACTAAATGTTAGAATATTTATTAGAGCGCGGCATTAAAATGCTCGCCTAAGATGTAACAGAAACTCTAGTTTTTAGTTAAGTAATATTTAATATTATTCAGTTGTTTTAAGATACATCGCACATTTACCACAATAATGACATAACACAGAAATTATTAAAAATTATTGAATTAAAAAACAAAACATAAAAAAAGTAAAAACTTATTTTAAAATACATATTTTTACAATCTTCTCTTCTACAATCAGTTATTACATCAAAATTGCATTTCAAAATAAATATTACAAAATTTTTATGATTCAAAACATTCAAACTTTGTTTTTAGAATTGAGTTATAGCAAATTAGCGACATTAAATAATATTTAAATAATATTTAATAAAATAATTTACAGCTTTGTGTCCTTTTATCTAAATTGTTAGCGCAAATCATTAACGATTGTTATGAATTTAATCTTTCTGGTCCTAATCAAGGGAAAGAAGGATGTCGCACAGGTCTTCAATAACATTTTGCGAAGACAAATTGGAACTAGATCACCTACCGTAGAATACATATGTACCAAACCTGAAATTCTTTTTACACTCATGTCTGGGTAAGTCTCTTTTTTCTTTTATGTTATGTCGGTAGAATAATAAAAATATGTTGCTATTATTGAATGCACTTTTGTTTTGCAGTTATGAACACCAAGACATTGCACTCAACTGTGGCACAATGTTGCGAGAGTGCGCAAGATATGAAGCCCTGGCGAAAATCATGATCTATTCGGATGACTTTTATAATTTTTTCAGATATGTTGAGGTTTCTACGTTCGATATCGCATCTGATGCTTTTTCTACGTTTAAAGTACGTTATATGTTCTGCAACGCGAACAAGAAGCATGTGATACTTTTCTTTGTTCGTTTATATTTATTATTTACAATTAATTTTGTTCTTTTACTAAAAATATTTAAATATTTACAAAACCGTTTTTGTCGCTATATATGTATTAATATTATGTTGTTTAATGTAATTAAGTGATTTATAATTTTGTCCAGGAATTACTCACGAGGCACAAAATACTCAGCGCCGAATTTTTAGAGATACATTACGATAAAGTTTTTTCGCACTATCAGAGGTTACTCAATTCAGAAAACTATGTAACACGACGACAGAGTTTAAAACTGTTGGGCGAGCTATTACTCGATAGACACAATTTTACAGTAAGTATCTGGCTTTGTCTTAAGAGCGATATTATTTATATAATTATACCAAAAAAGGAATTTTCAAACTCTAAGAATATCTCTACGTTTAATAAATATAAATGTTTAATAAATATAAATAGTATTTTTTTCTAGAGAAGGAATATATAGGAAATATATAGGGTGGAATATAAAAGGAATATAAGGAAATATAAGTAGGATATAAAGGAATATATATATAGGGTGTCTGGTAAGTTTTGACAAAGCACTCGCGTGATAGAACAGACTAAACTGAATCAAAAAATCCTCTACCATTTTGCAATATTCGCAATAGTTAAAAAGATATTAATTATTAAAAATTGCTGGATATTAGTTTTCAATAATTTTTTACTCCAATACTATCAACTTTACAGAAAAATATCAAGAGACAAAAATTGTTTATTTTTTTCTCATAAAGTGCTGAGAATTTTTTCAGAATTTTTTAATACCGTATTTTCTCATGTTGATAAAAATAGTTGCGAATAAGAAAATGCAGTACTAAAAAGTTGATAAAAAATTCTGAAAAAATTCTTAGTGTTATGAGAAGAAAATAAACAATTTTTTCTTGCAGTTTTTCTCTAAAGTTGACAGTATTTGAGAAAAAAATCGTTAACTATTGCGAAAATTGCAAAATGGTAGAGAACTTTTCAACTCAGTTTAGTCCGTCTATCTACACACAAGCTTTATCAAAACTTACCGGACACCCTATATATATTTTATATACCGGCACATGCTTCTCGATAAATAGTCAATATATAAAATATTAATAAAACAAAAAATTAAGAAATAAGCAATAATTTGTTTAAAGAAAAATTCTTAATCTCCTAGCTCGCCATTGTTATTTTTATTTATCTCTCTTGGCCATGCTATATCTCTAAATTGAATGTATATTTTTTTAGCTTAAAACGTGTGAAATCTATGCCTCAAAATCAAATTAAGACAGATAAATATGAATATATTACAAAAATATTTTATTTTCAATTGATTATAATAGCTCAAAAGATGGGAAAAATTTACCAAAAAATGACTACTTTTGCAATTCTCAAATTTTAAAATTTAAATTTTAAACAAAAAAAACTGTGGGGTTTAAATTTATTCTTTAGACTAACAAAAAAAATAGTACAACATGAATCGCTCAAAAAAGTATAATTATTTGAAGTATCGAAAATCGAATTTTTAAAAAATCTATATATCATGAGATTTTATAATTAATGAATAAAATTTTATCATTTAGAACTATCTACAAAACTATCTATCAGTAATTGCGCTTTTTTTATCCTTTGGCTTTTTTGATAGAGCCGAGGTTACGCCGATAGTTTAGAAGATGATACAGCTCGGTAAAGCGATAGTACATCGGGCCCGGCCGAGCGATCTCAAGACTAATAGGCCATAAAATTTCTACTATTTATTATACAGGATGTCTCCGCATACAGTTCCAAAACTGCTACAGCGGCTTCAGCATATGAAAACAAGTCGAAAATAGGTCTGTTTTTTATTGCTGCATTTTCTGAATTAGTACAGTGCAATAAGTTGAAGTGAAACAAATACGAGGGGCACTATTTATATTTTGAGCCTATTAATAAAAAAACAGTAATTTGTCATTGAAAATGACTTTATTGTTTTTCAAAATATTCTCCTTTATGATCTTTACACTTTTGCATGCGTTCGAACCACTTGTTTGCACCAATCGACACGAGCATCTTTTTGAGATTTTGTCAGATTATGTGGGATCCAACGAGAACAAATCACGGCTAAATGATCATGC